GGGGAAAACACACCGTGAAGAAAACACATCGCGGGACAAAATTGATAACGAATAGAAAGCATAGGTCAGATGAAAGAAAAAGCCAACGGATACATAACGACAAGTTGGACTGGGACCCTGCAAGTCGCCGACGCCCCACCCCCACCGATTCTGGCTGGGACTCGACGGGAGGGACGGAGCGGGACGGAGATATGCGACGGTGGCGGATCAACAAAAACCGAGCCCAAAAATGGCAACGGCACCCCAAGTGTAGCAGTGAGAGCGAAAGACGAACAAAACTTGAGACTGTAGAAGGAAAATAAGGAAAATGTGTAGGTGCGACAGACAAGGTCGCCTGACAGATGAATCCGCAACAAGACCAACCCACAGCCGTACTCTGTATCCGTAAATCGGGCGAGCTAATGCCAAGGCTCGGCTTGATGTTCCAGAAGGGCGCTCAGGGGCGGTGCCCCGCCGGTGCGACGGCGGGGTGGGGCCGGTCAGGTGGGGTTGCAGACGGAAACGGTCCCGGTGGGGGGGGGGGGGGGGTGATGGATGAACCTGGCCCCACGGACGTGGGCACAGGATGCATGGCAGATGGATGATCCACATTTGACGACGTGTGTACCGGTGCTGGGCTGGATGAAGTCCATTGATTGAAGGGCGATGTGATGGGAGACCGTGTGGCTAGGGACTGGGCAGATTGAAGAAGATGACGATTCCGATGTCGCGTGCCCTGGGTGTGACGCCAGTGACGGTCCGGAATGAGGGGTGTGGAACATGTGAATAGGTACCGTCCTGTTGGAGTCGGGATGGCCACCGATCCAATCGGGAATGCAGTCGGGGAGAAGCCCGGTGCCTGGAGAGTTGGACCAAGGTTGTACGGGACTCCACCCCGGGTGTTGTTCCATTGATCGCGGCTCTGTTACACCCGCTTATTTCTTTGGGGGTTGGAAGTCGGTATTAAAGGTTTCGATCTTGTCGTGGGCCCTTGCCTTATACGCGGCATCAAGATCGATGACACTGAGCGAAGGCGACGACGAGTCATCGGAGATGCGACCATATAGCGTGCCATCATCAGACTTATCTTGAATGAGATAGTCGTCAAGCTGGGTAGGAAGATTCTCGGATGCGGGTGGGAGGATAATGTTGCAGCTGGTACTGTCGCTCGAGTCACTTTGAGTCTGCTGGCTGGACACCTGCACGGATTGGCTGCCGCTGGATGCCGGAGGCCTGCCATCAATGGTCGTATGTCAGCATTGTAATGCAGATTAAACCGAGGTTACTTTAAGAGGGTTATCTGGGAAAACGTACGTTAAGACGGCCACACTGGTGGACTTTTGCGCCGATGAGGTTGTGCCAGTCGACATTGTCGGGAGTTGGTTAAGGGGGGTCGGTGTAAGTGCTGGTGATGGTCGGTGCGTAGTCGGGGGTATGTACAACCAAGGGCAAGGGGAAGTTTTTTCGTGCGAGAAAAGCAGGAAGGAGTACGTTGTATGTCGCCAAAGCCAAGCAACATTGGTATATTTGGGACTGAGAAGGAGGAGGCATGTTGGTTTTAAACATTTTCATCGAAAGCGAACTCTGGCCAGTGTTGCAGCGAAAGCGCGCCAGGGACAACACAAATACAGGGGTAACTATTTTTTTAAAAAGTTGTAAGTCAATCTCACGGACCCGAGGCGGACGCCTTTTTCTTTACGGCTGCGGACCATTGCTCTGGTCCGCATCGCAAGCCGCGCGGACTGTGCAAATGGTCCGCATCCTAACCCTAACCCTACTGCTCAAAGACGGCCAGGGGTGCGTTGCGCTCGTTACCGCTGTCCTTCCGTACATAGTCGGGTTCGACTGCCTTGCGATCCATAAGCCCTTTCCGTCGTTGGGGTTCGACTGCCTTGCGATCCATAAGCCTTTTCCGTCGTCGGGTTCGACTGCCTTGCGATCCAGAAGCCCTTTCCGTCGTTGGGTTCGACTGTCTTGCGATATCCATAGCCTTGTGATTGCCTTGCGACTGAAATGGAGAACTAGGTACACTTGCCTGGCCCAAGGCTGGGGGCCGGTCGCATATCGTGGGCGGCGGAGATGCACATCATCCGCGAGACGAGCCGCACTGCCAGGTTGTTTCCGAGCGCTATTTCACATTCGCATCATCTTTTTGGCAATCTTCATCGCTTTGTTTCATTTTGTGGGGCCGCGTTCCCTGGCGACATGAACTTCCCCTGAATCAGTGTTTGATCTTGCACCCTAACCCTCCACAACTGTGGCGCCAAGCGCCCCGCACAAGCTTCGGGCGCCCCACCATAAAGTTACGCCTGATAAGCCTCGATAAGAGAAAAAATCCATACAGGCGGGAGCAGCGCGTCCATGCTTCTTCTCCAACCACCACCGTCCAAACCATCCCAGCCACGTCAGACACGATGCCGAAACGAAAGGTCGCCGCCCTGGAGAAGGTTGAAGCCGACCTGGCCAGTCTCCAGTACCGGATCAGGAGGGACCCCAAGTGAGCCTCGCCGAATCTCGTCGCACGCGACCCAATTGCTGATTGTCAATTGCACAGATCCTATGCCCAAGAGTTCTACGACCAGTGGCTCGCCTACGATGCGCAACGTCAGATTTTCATGGCTTCGCCCACGACGGCCTCCAATGACGATGTCAAGAAGTTCCACGACCTCGTCGATCTCGTCGCCCACGTCGCCGACCTCTATCCCGAGCTCACCGCCGCGTACCCCGACCACCTGAAGGAGCTGCTCATCCGACACCATGCCGTCCTGGACCGCGAGCTGAGGGAGAAGGTGGTTGGCAGTTTGGTGTTGATCCGGAGAAAGGATGTCATCGACTCGACGAGCCTGCTCACGACGCTGTTCCCCGTCCTCATTTCGACCCCTAGCAAGAGCCTGCGATCTCTGCTTTACAGCAAGATCATCAGCGATCTCCGGGAGTCCAACTCCAAGACGACGAACCACCGCCTCAACCGAACCATCCAAACCGTCCTGCACAATCTCGTCACCTCGGACCGCACGTCGAGCAAGGGCATGTGGGCCACGCGCATCACGCGCGAGCTGTGGCGCCGCCAGATCTGGACGGACGCCAAGCCCTGCGATGTCATGAAGGAGGCTTGTCTGAGCGACAACGAGAAGGTCGTGGTGGGTGGTGTCCGCTTCTTTCTCGGAGGCGACAAGGAGAGAGAGCAGATGGAGGACGACTCGAGTGACGACGAGGTGGACATCAAGAAGGTCAAGCATCAGATTGACATCAACAAGAAGAGCAAGAAGCGCCAAAAGGCTGTTGAGAGGGCGCTTGAAAAGGTCAAGAGGTTTGTCTCCCGACCGAGTTGCCTATGCTTTGATCGCATGCTAACCCTTTGACAGACAAGAGCGCAAGAAGAAGGCTCCGCACCCGCTCAACTTCTCGGCGCTGCACCTCATCAACGATCCGCAGGGATTTGCTGAGAAGCTCTTCCAGAAGCACCTGCAAAACACCAAGAACCGCTTCGCTCTTGAGAGCAAACTGGCCATTCTCCAGCTGGTGACGCGTCTGGTCGGCTTGCACAAGCTGACTGTTCTCTCACTCTACTCGTGGTTCGCTCGCTACCTCACTCCCAAGCAGGCCTCTGTCACATCTTTCCTCGCCTCTCTTGCCCAGGCCACGCATGATCTCGTACCGCCAGATGCGATTGAACCCTTGATCGTCAAGATTGCCAACGAGTTCGTCTCTGAAGCATCGGCATCCGAGGTCGCAGCCGCCGGCATCAACGCTATCCGCGAGGTGGCCATCCGCCAGCCTCTGTGCATGAACGAGACCCTCTTACAGGATCTCGTGCAATACCAGAAGAGCAAAGACAAGGGCGTGGTGATGGCTGCCAAGGGCCTCCAGTCTCTGTACCGCGAGGTCTACCCCGAACTGCTGCAAAAGAAGTACCGTGGCAAGGAGGCAACAATGGGCTTGCGGTCAGGCGAGACGAGGCAGCGCAAGTTCGGCGAGCAAGAAGCGGGTGGCATCGAGGGCATCGAGCTGCTCGAGAAGTACAAGGACGAGCAAAAAGCCAAGAAGCTCGCCGAGAAGGAGGAGGGCGGGGACAAGGGCGACGACGAGGACGAGGACGGGTTCAACTCGGACGAGTGGGAGGTTGGTTCCGATACGTCCATGTCATCCGGCGGCTGGATCAACGTCAGCGACGACGAGGACGACGAACCGGCTACAAAACGCGCCAAGACGGGATCGGAAGCCCCGGATCTTGTCGGTGCTGAGAAATTGGATGTGTCTGAGTTGACTAGCCTTTCCAAGCTCGCGACAACATCGATCCTGACGCCGGCCGATCTGTTGAAGCTGCAGGAGCTGCGCATGGAGGCCAACGTCGACAAGGCTATGGGCGGCGCGTCCAAGCGCAAGAAGGAGCTGATCCAGCGGCACATTGACGAGGGCGTGACGGCGGACGACATTGAGCTGCCGGCGACGCTGGGCAAGAAGACGACCAAGGAGGAGCGGCGCGCGATGGCGGCCGACGGCAAGCCCGGGCGCGACGAGCACAAGTCAACACAGGCCATCCGCCAGAGCAAGAAGGAGGCCGAGGGCAAGAGCTCGACCAACAAGGAGAAGGCGCGCAAGAAGAACTTCCTCATGACGCTCGGCAAGGCGAGGCAGAAGAACAAGCGCAGCTTGACGGAGACGAGGCGGGCGCTCAAGAATCACGTAGCCAAGGCCAAGAGCGGCGGGCGCAGAGCGAACGGTGTGTCGAGGAATTGAGCGTGATGGGAGGACAAGGGGAACATGGTGGTTTGAGAAATGCAATAGATACCCATGATGTGGCAATGGATACATTGATGACGCTTGGGCTTGTTGTCTGCGCATCGCAGACCTGTGTTGTGATCTGTCAATGTGACCGTGGACTCGGTGACGACATCCCCATTGGCGATCGACTGAGCGATGCAATTCCACAACCAAGAAGATTCTGTCAAATTCCCTGCCAAAAAAAAAAGAATTGCTGCTTCATTTCATCGAAGAATGATACGCAAAAGGCAAAACTTTGGACGTACCGCGGATCGAACGCGGGACCGTCTGTAGATGCAAGAGCTCTGAGGCATTGCAAAACAGAAATCATACCACTAGACCATACGCCCTAGGATATCATTGTGGTGCATTTCAACCACTCATATCGGGAAGCCGGTGCAGCTCTCGTTCACTTTTGTGAGCATCATCACTTGCCACGACCAGTCAGACTCAATTCATTGCTGGCAATTCCCTCTTTCCATCCAAGTTCCTAGGCTATATCCCGGCCAAACTACACCAACATCCAGAAACACATTCACTCCTTGTGCCACACCCCGACTGTTTACATGCCCCTCACCCCCTTCTGCCCCACATCCCCCCCTGAACAGGAACTCCCCCGTCTACTTCGCTCCTCCGCTCCACGCACGGTCAAACTGCGCAATCGCATCCGCAGCCCTCTTGACATTGTCCCGCGTTTTGACCTTGTCGCTTGCCGAAACCCAGAGCTTCTGGGCGGAAGATGCCGTTGTCGCGTCGAGGTAGGAGTCGAGCGCGAGCTGTCGCAGGCTGGTGTTGGGTTTGTCGTTGCGGGTTGTTGGTGGGGTGGAGGGGGTGGGATGCTGCTGGTTGGGTGACATGGCGCTATTCCCTTTCTGGGGGAGGGGTGTGTGAGGACTCGAGATGCGGGCTTCTCAAGGTGTCGCGTGCGTGAAGACATATGCTGCAGGCAAGGCTGAAGAGGACGATGATGGATTTGGAGAGCGTCTTGGTTGCGATGGATTTGGACATTGTGAACTTTGGATTTAGAAGAGTGTCTGGCATATATATAATGTTGTTCATTTGGACTACGTGGGTGAGTCCTCTGGTGGGCTCTTGAGTCCTCTTCAGTCCTCTCACCAGAGGGTTTGAGTCCGGTCGCGTAGCCGGGCAGTCCTCTCACCAGAGGGTTTGAGTCCGGTTGCATGGCCGGGCAGTCGTTGAGGACTGTTGACATGGATGCAAGGGCAGAGTTCCGCCGACGGGTCCAAGCCTGAGGACTCGAATCCAGACGCAGGGTTGAGGGAAGGCTCCAAAAGTCGGCGATTGTCCCGTGAGTGCCTGCATGGCGGAGATGGTGCATTCGAGGACTCGGGTTGGAACCTGTGAGTTCGTTTGAGGACTCGTCTGTTTCGGGAGCCATGAGGACTCGGCGCGGCATTGGGTTGGCCCGAGGACATGAGGACTCAGGTCCGGTCCAAACGAGCCTGCCCCAAACCATGAATGTATGTGGACTCGGCCTAGGGTGATGGGGAGAGTACCGATTTCATTTCCGAGCTTCAATGCATGCGTTGGAAATAGTCGCAATCATGGGCGACGGTATGGAGGAGACAAGGAGAGGGAGTTTATTCAATGAACAACCCTAACCCTTTTATTCCCGAAATAGACATGGCTGAAATTTCAAATATAGGCCAGTGCGTTTCTGAAATTTCGTTCCCTGACGATGACGTGGCCTGCCACGTCATCGTTCGTCAGTATGTCAATCAGCCGCGGACGTGGTACAGGTACGAAGGGCAAAGGCTAATTCTGTGCGGATTTGGGGACATTCCAGCTTTTGCAACATTGAGGGCCCGTGCCTTGCATTTTCCAGCTGGCAAGGCCCGGCGTACCCTAAGCGTTTTAAGTCTCCGGCATCAACACCATCACCATCATCACCATCATCACCATCATCACCATCATCACCATCACGTCGCCGTCGCCGTCGCTATCGCCATTACCGTTGCAATCGCCCTCGCCATCGCCGTCACCCTCGACGTCGCCCTCGCTGTCGCCGTCGCCCTCGCCGTCGCCATCGCCCTCGCCGTCGCCGTCGCCGTCGCCGTCGCCGTCGCCCCCCTCGCCGTCGTCGCCCCCCTCGCCCCCCTCGTCCCTATCGCACAGTATCCGTAAACAGGCCCGACGGGAGGCTTCCCGTCGGCACGGGTAGTGGCGGTTGCGACTACCCGTAGCCCCTGTTTGTTTGTTGCGATTACCCGTGGCCCCTGTCCGTTTGTTGCGACTACCCGTAGCCCTTGTCCGTTTGTCGACGAGAGCGATAGCGACGGCGATGGCGAGGGCGAGGGTAATAGCGACGGCGACGGCGATGGCGATGGCGACGGCGACGGCGATGGCAACGACGATAGCGACGACGATGGTAATAATAGTGCTGATAATATTGATAGTGTTGACATTGATGGTGTTGATATTGATGGTATTGATATTGATGGTGTTGATATTGATGGTGGTGACTTAAACGCTTAGGGCTGTCAGGCCTTTACAGCTGGCGGCTCCAGGGCACGGGCCCCAAATGTTCCAAAAGCTGGAATGTCCCCAAATCCGCACAGACTTAGCCTTTGCCCTTCGTATACAGGTACTTAAATCACTGTAGACCCCGGTTTGGTAGGCCACTTTTGCCCCTTTTCCCGTCTTCGCCGCAAGACATTCTTTTCACCTCAGGCTCTTCGCCTCTTTTTCACCAACACTCTCCACCAGGACCCCACCTTTGAACCCGGATTGCGGGAGCCGCCGCATTCTCGCAGCGGCGGCTGCTGATCAGTGGATCACAGCGCCGACTCGCTCCAGTACGACGGTCTCTGCCCGTATTTTACCGACATCGAATTCGACACACTCCCATCTCCGAACACACATAACCCACCCCAGAACTTTCCTCCTTGTTACGAAGTTGCTTGCCTGGACCAAGCTCCGTCGTTCAACTCTGCAGGAATCACTGAGGTCCGCCCTCTTCCCCTCTACCCCCGGCCCACGCCAACCCTCCCTTGTGGCTGGTCCCTCTCTTCTCTTCAATCCGATGCATCATCTTCTCTTCAATCCGATTCATCTTCTTCTCTCGTTTCTCCGGAGCCTGTTCATCAGGCCTCTCCGCCATCTCCAGTGCCGCAACGGCCAAATAGAGAGGCCAAGCCACAACGCAATGCGGCATCCACGCGACCGCGCAAACCCACTTCAAAGTCTCGGGCTGCGGCCACACTGCCGCCCTGCCAAAAGACCTCAAACGACACATGGCGAGCCGCTATAGCCCGCCCATCAACAGCGTCATCGCACGATGCGACAATTGCTCGCGCCACATAACAGGGAGCTGCACATACGGTCCACGACCATCGCGCAGCTGAGCGCCCTCAACATGTTCCTCGGTCAGAACATGTACCTTTCATTTGCCTTTCATCTCATGGGCTTCTTCAACTCGGTCGAGGCCTTTCCCAAACCCCCAACAATGGTTTTGACTCTTGGCCCGACTGCAAACACCCTCTCCACTCAGTAGCCCGAGGGGGGCGAGCCCCCCCTTTGTCTCGGACGTCCCCCGAGTCTCTCTTTCTCTTTGGCGACATGCGGCGATCTTCAGCTTGCCGGAAGACAGTGCTGTCAGGCCTGGCAGCGGCCAGAACCCATTCCCGCAGAATGCCATGTTAAGGGCAATTTACCTCACTAATTGTCGATGGGACCGCCATCTTGTGTCGCAAATTCTCCGAACTTTTAACCTATGCGCCTTTTCAGCGCCATGCAGCAATCATCACTGGGGGCAGCAAGTATGCTGCCAGGCCTGGCCGAGTCCCGAGCCCGTTTCCCATATGATCCCTTTTCAGCGACATGCAACAATCATCACTGGAGGCAGCACGTATGCTGCCAGGCCTGGCCGAGTCCAGAGCCAGTTTTCCACATGATCCCTTGGACGCCACACAGGTGCCCAAATCCACCAAGGTCTTTGAACGTGCACCGGGCTTATGGTCGCCCTCGCACGTTACCAGAGCCGCACCTTGTCTGCATAAGCCCTTGGCTTCCGCAGCTCACCGGGATCTCGTCGTGGTAACGGTTGGTCCAGGCAACCGCTGCCACGACGGGGTTTGGTGACTGTGGGATCTGAGGCCGCAGTCGAGGTTGTTCGCTCTGGGTGACTCGTTGACCTCTACAAGAGATGAATCTGTCGTTTCATCTTCTTCGTCAACGAGAATCTGCTGCTTAAATCATGTCCCATTTCCCTGCTGTTACAGGACGACACTCACCCAACACCGCTGGGTCATTTTTGGGACACTACCGCTGCGGCGCTGCGTCACATGCACCTGCATCATCTGCGGCCGAGGGTGGTAAAAAACCCCCCAAAAGAACAAGGCCCAATGCCATTCACAGACGACCTGCACCACTCGCAGGACAATCAGGCCCAGAACCAGGAACAACAATTCGGAGATCTGCGCCATTTGCAGAACAACCAAGCCGCACCATTCACAGCAAAACAAAAATCCCTGTCTATCTCAAGACTCTGTAACCCGTACTTAACGGGCTCGTCATGGGGGGTGGGGTTGAAGATGACCCTTAAGGCTTGCCCCCCGAATCGACGGAGAGTGTGTCTGGGTGGTCTGAAAAAAAAAGGGTTGACCACCTGCTGTTGAGATATCCTGTCAAGTCCCTGCCAACTTGACGGCAAACCCTGTCGGGAAGGATATCAACCTTGTCCAGAGCCGTTCAAAAAACAACGACCGGAACATAGCACTGGCACTGCGACCATAAAAGCTACCATAGATACTAGCTACTACAATGTCAATCTCCTATCAAACCCAAGCCCTGAGTGAAAGCGATGCCTCGGCGTTGAGCAAGTTGACTGACCTTCTCTCCCCTCAAATGTCACTTGTTCTCACATGTACCAGTACAACCAGGACTGACAGGCTGCAGGTCCCTTCCAGTGCAAAGTTGTTGGTGTCAGACCCACCCACTTACACCAGCTTCACCGCTCGTCCAGCGGCGGCGCAAATGCAGGTCACCGACCGGACCCAGCCTTGGCGGCGGCATTGGGATGGCCCGATGCCCGAGGGGCATGAGGACTCAAACTCACAACCTCCCATTGGTCTTGCAGGCTGTGATCATGTACGTGACCGGGCACGCAAGGCACGTTCCAGGGCGGCCGCAAATCAGGGCGGGCAGGCACTGCCAACTCCAAGCAAGAAAGGTTTGGGGCTTAAAGTCTCGCAGCTCCCTCCTGGCAATGCCTTGCCTTCCATTCCTTCTTCTCTTCCCCCTTCCTCATTTCTTTCCTACCTACCGGACAGCGTCATTTCAACTTCCCGGCCATTACGGCTGTGGTCCGGACGCGGCAGGACTTGGCCCC